CGTCATCCTTTCCTGCGGTCGAGCGAAAGACGAAGCGAAGCGAGGCGTTTCACGCGCGACGGTCGGTTTCCCGGACGACGATTCTCGACGAGAGCCATTTCGCGACCAGAGAATCTCTCTCCGAGAGAAGAATCGAGCCTGCCAGAGGTACGCCGAATCGGCAGAACCGAAACACCCGGAGGTTTCGTCGCGTGCAAGCACTCCGAGGTCGAGCGGAACGCACTTTCGGGCTCTCGACTCGATCCGAGGCGGATTCCACCTTCGACCCGAAGATTCCGCACCGTCTGCATTCTTTCTCGCCCGCCCTCCGCGAAACGAACGCTCGCCCTCGTGCTTCCGACACGTCGGGGCTCGCTCTCCTCTGGGCCTCGAGGATCCGATCGAACGCGTCGAGGCCCGGATGCCCGAATCGGAATTTTGGGGAGGAAGCGGGAAGGGAGTGTGGGTGGAGGAGGTAGAAGCGGGAAGGCGATTCGGTAGACGCTCGGGAAGGCGCCGAGGGTCGTCGATGACCACCGAGAAAGCGGACGGGTACCACTATCGAGCGAGTGAGAAAACGCCGTTCCCGTGTTTCCCACTCGACGAACGAGAAAAGTTGGCAGGAAAACGGCACGGGAGGCGCCCACGAGGCCGCATGCGATCGGTACGTTACCGTCGAAATGCGGTCTGTGCTTCGAGGCGAGAAAATCACTAATTATCCGAAACAATAGGGGAATGGGGGGGGGGGAGGGGGAATTGAAGGAAGAGTAATGAAGCCATCGATTTATCTCCTTCTCTCTCTCTCCCCGCCTTCATCTGTATCTCTAATTGCAGTGTCTGTCGAGTCTTAGCCCCTCTTAATTCTTCGCTTCCCCTCGGGAAGGCAATTAACCGACAGAATCTTCCTATATGAAGGCTCGCGACCGTATTTCACCCTTTCAGAAGAGAGACAAAGAAAGAGAGAGAGAGAGAAAGAGAGTGGCCAGAAGAGATGAGGTGTCATTGGAAAGAAGGATGACACCCTGACTCGTGGGCCGAGGGTGTCTCATCCATCACGAGATGTTCATTTTTCTCAACTCCGATCTCCCTCCGTTTCCTCTCGGGCTCGGTCTCCGACTCCCATGTGCCCCAGCGCGTATCCCATCCGAAGGTCTCGTTTCGTCGGACCGGCACCGCTCTCTTTTCGTCTCTCGGGGAAACGCGGCGACGGACGACGAGAAGACGTCGCATCGTCCTCTCCACGGTCTCGCTCTTCCGGTTTCCGACGGAGCCGGGGAGACCGGACTCCACGACGAAAAGCGGAAGAACTTTCTCACGGATCGGACCGGTTCTCCGACCGACACGAATTCGATCGTCGTCCGCGCGTGGATCCGGTCGTCTTTCCCCCGTCTTCTCGATTGCGACAGCGTTTCCGCGTTTCTTCCTGCGGAATGACGACGGCGAAAGCGTTCGAAAGAATAACGTTTATTTCCGTAAAAACAACAAGCGAGAGATCGCATTCAATAACGGCGGACAGGAGCGACGTGGCCTCGGTATCCGACCGGGGAGTACGCTCCCGCTGCCCCTCGGCCGTAGGCGTAGGAGAAGACGGATTGAGGCTCGGCGACGACGTCGGCGTGATATCCCGTCCGGTCCGCCCGGTACCTCACCGTGTACAGCTTGTTGTCCGGACCCACGTAGCTGTAGGATCCTCTGACGTAATGACCGTCTCGTTCTTCTTCCCGTCTCTGCGAGATCCACATCCGTCCCGTGAATGGTTTTTCGACCGAAATTTAACCGAAAATCCCATTTAAACGGATTTCTCATTTCTCGTCGAATCGACGGAAGTTCACCGGATGGAAATATTCGCCTATTCTCGGTCGCATGCACGGTTCTCGGCCTGGGTTCGAGCAAACTGCGTTTCCCTTTCGGCATTCATGATCCGTAGATCCCTTTTTTATTATTAAACGAGAAACGAGGCCCCGTTTTATCGGAAGGAGGTCCATGGCCTCACCGCGGTCGCTCGGTTCCTTTCCGGCGTTTCGTCGAGGAAAAAGCGGAAACGACCTTTCTCCCGTTTGGATCCATCGGATAGACGTCGAGGTGGACGTCGAAACGCGACGGATGCTTCGCGAGGGATGCGAAAGCGAAGTTCACCTCGCGTGCGGAGAGGACGAGGACGAGGAGTCCGGATCCTCCTTCCTCCAGGGCTTCCTCGGTTTCCCCTCTTCGCTCCTCTCGTCGTCCGCGAGAAACGCGTCGGCGAACGTGCCGAAACGGGAGGACGCGGAAGAACGTGCCGAGGTCGCGTTTCCCAAGGGTGAAGGGCGCGAGAGCGAGTTCCGAATCGCGCCCGCGCGTCCGATCGGTATCCGACGGTCGAAACGACTCGAGACGGAAAGAGATCCGACGAGAACGTCCCGTGCCGACGGAAGTCGACGGCGAAGGCGATTCGCTTCCTTCGCTTCCTCGACGGCGATCTCCGGTGGTCCCGGCGACCGCTTCGCCTTCGATCGCGTTTCGGGATCGTACGTTCCACCGGTGGAACGACGACGCACCGAGCGTCGCGGAGGAGAACGGAAACGACAATAGGAGAGGAAACGACACGAACGTACCTGGAAATTGTAGGTGTAATCGTCCCGGACGACGTAGGAGAACTGGTATCTGGGATGAGCGTTGGGTTCGTAGGCTGCCCCACCGTAGTCGTTTCTCTCGTTCCCGTAAGCCTCTCCTCCGTATTGAGGTACGGCGGCGGCCAGGCAGGCCAACCCCAGAAATACGAACAACTATCGGGGAACGATCGGGAACGGTACAGATCGCGTCCCATCGGTCGAAATCCGAAGCATCGTCGCGAAGCCACCCACCCCCGCCCCCCCTACCCGACGGGACCGCGGCACGGTCGCCCCGACGCCCGATGCCGATCCGAGCGACGGAGAGCGACCCGAACGACCCGCTTCGCTCGTTCCGTGTCGCCGGGTCGACTCGGATCGCTCCGATGAAATTTGCGATCGGTCGCGTCGGAGTCGTCCGTGGGACGACTCCAGAGCGACCTCCGAAGCGACTCGATGGATCGGGTAGGCGGGTGGCTTTTAAACGATCTCCGGAAAATAATTCGCATGCCGTGATCCTACGGTTTCGAGCGCATGGGACATCTAGAACATACGTTTCCGAAGGAGAAGATACGTTCGGCGAGAACTCGCTAGGGAGCGAGTCGACGCGATGGGCTGGCGACCCGGCGAGCGATCCGGCAATCGCCCGGTCGATCTCGTCCCGTTCTCGCTGGCACTCGCCGAGAGTTGCAAACGTTTCGTGCTTCGCGTGTCGGCCGAAAGACCGACGTGCGAAGCACTCGCCGGGTCACCCGCCCGTCGTACGTACCCGCCGCGCTCGCCGAGTGCCGAGTCTCGAGAACGAATCGCGGGGACGAAACGGAACGACCTTCTCGGACGCGTCGAAACGACCGGAAAGACGTCCACGAGGCGAAAAAGAGAGATCGGGTCGGTCGAGGGAACGCCGACGGGTTCACCCGATCGCCCGATCGGTGGAAAGGGAGACGAAGAGACTCACCTGCATCTCGTCTGGAATCCGTTCTCACGCACGCCGTTCCGAGGAAGAATCTCGATCTGCCGTCGATCGGGCGAGCCACCTCCTTATATGAGGAAAAGAGGCGAGTGACGCAACCCGGTGGAATGGAGGCGATCGCGAGGGGAGCCGAGATTCTCGGCGACGACTCTTCCCCTCCGTCGGGATCTTCCGGTTCCGAATCCCGAGACGCATTCGCGGTCCGACCTGTTTTCTCTTTTCCCTTTTTCCCGATTTTCCTCGTTTTCCTCTTCCCCTTCCTCGAATGACGAAACGACGGAAGCGGTCGCTCCGTCGCCGGGTTCGAACGTCCGATGCCCTTCCGCTTCTTCCTCGCGGCGCCGCGCGAACCCCGCGACGACGACGAGGACGAAACGGTGGCGGATGCGACGAGAAAAGAAGGGAGGAAAAGACGGGAGTCGCGATCCGACCGAGATCGTAACGTTCCTCCTGCTTCCGGAATGCCGACGATCCGGGGTGGAGTGATCCGTTCCGCCGGAACGTAAGATCCCTCTGCGTCCGCGACCGTTTCCGTCGTCGTCGTTCTTTTCGTTCGTCGACTCCCGGTGACGAACGAAAAGAAAACGAGTCCGAATCGACGTCGTTCGTCGCATCGATGATTTCCGGACGGACGATGGCGACGACGGGGAAGACTGCGGGACGGTCTCGTCGCGAACGCGAACGGAAATCTCCGAGGACGTCCGACGGTTCTCGTGCGACGATCGAGAGAGCTCGCGAGCTCTCTCGGGGCATCGCGACGCCCCGGACCGGAAGTGCACGGAGCGGCGATCCGTCGTCGAGGCCGACGAAGCTTCGTCGCGATCGCAACGTGGCGTTTCGCGGCACGGATCAAAAGGCAGACGCGGGCAGCATTCCGAATTCTCGTACCGTAAATACTTACCGGTGGGCCGACGGCCGATCCTTTCCTCGCGACCGTCGGCCGGTGCCGATCGCCGGTTCTCCACCTTTTTCGTGTCGCGACCGCTCGAGTCTTCCCGTCTTCGTGCGACCCACGAATTTGGAAACGTCCAGAAATGATGCAGTCGAGCGACTCGAAAAAGACATCGATCGTGCTCTTTTAAGACGGAAACGACGCTCTCGACGTATCGCTCTCGGCACCTGTGATTCCTTCGTCGTTCCTTTCTGTTTCCTCTTCGATCTTCCTCCGAAAGAACTCCACCGGTTCACCCTTCGACGTCGAGTCGTTTCGACCTAAATGCTGCCTTAAATCGGAAGGCCTCACGGATGCATCGGCCGGCAGTTCACCGCAAACAAAACGCCACAAATTCTGGTTTCGTGCTTTCCGACGCCGTGTAACCGCACCGATGGTATCGATCGTTATACTTCCGGATCGGTACTATTAATAGTTTACACCTTTTTGCCGACTTCTGTCTCGGTGACGAGCCACCTTTAGTACCAGCGCTTGCACTCGGTTTTATCAAGAAACAATCCGTCTGCATATGAATGTTTCCTAAATAAGTCAATACGGGAAATTATGGATGATATTGAACTTCGTAAACCCCCCCCCCCCCCCCCAAAAAAAAAAGGGAAAACTTTCCTTCAATGGATATGAAAATAATTTGCAATTAAAGTATATAAAATGAATGAATTAGGTAAATGAAGCTTTCCAAGCAAGAAATTTTCTCCTGAAGGATTACGGCGATCATGTCGAGAGGGTATCGCAAATGTTCCATCCCACTGTTACAATTTTGAGAATACTCTTGATGCAGGGATGTCAAATTTGGAGTTTTTTTGCAATTTCGTAATATTTTGTGATCATTCTCGTGGATACTCGGAGGGAACGAGAATAAATTCTGGAACTTGTTCCTGAGTGTTCCTGAGAACAGCACGTGTTCCTGAGAACACAAGGTGTTCTCAGGAGTGTTCCTGAGAACACCTTGCACACCGGAAATAAATATTCAAGATGAATTGCATTTCCTGCAATCCTGAACGTAGCTGTTGGGATACAGCCGCTTCATACCGAGTACCTTCAACCTCTGGCCCAGCTGGCGATCCTTGCGTTGTTTCGAGGGTTCGGGGAGGGACTGGTCCTGTGGATCTGGATCCACGCTTCGTGCTCTGTGGCTTTCCTCATCATCTCGCTTACGGCAGCGCACCATCACGAGGATATATTCCACGATGGGGACCGGCCGTCCCCCGATCGGGATTGGGGAGTGGGACAGCTGCAGGCCATCGGGGATAGGACGGAAGTGATGGGGATTCCTTGGCTCGCGGGCATCACCTTCGGAGATCACATTCTTCATCACCTCTTCCCTACGGTGGATGCTTTTCGCCTTCCAGCATTATATCCCGTCTTGAAGGAGACGTGTCGGGAGTTCCATGTTCAGTTCAACCGGTTCACCTACCCTGAGATGGTGATGGGAATGTATCGTCAGACGTGTCGCACTTACCTTCTAGTTTATTCATCGCCGCAAAAATGAGTAAAAATTAGGTCTCCTTTGAGTCTGGCGCTGTCGTTATTATTATTACGGTTCTCAATCCCGCGGATCATTCAAGATCTCCGATTATCTGATCTGGTAGTACACCTTCCACCAGCGGGTACTAGGTGCTTACTAGGTGCCAGTCTCAGCAAGCCTTCCTCGACTGCTTGCTGATATCGGAGGTTCGGGGCTTGGTTGGGATCCGGATGAATAAAAGGAACAAAGAGGAACTCTAAGACGACAGGGTCCTCGTGGGGACCGGCTTGCAAACGACCGTGAAGCGATCGTTCTTCATGAATCGGATGGTATGCGGCATGATCCTACGCCCGCGATAAAATGAGAGATTACCGAAACCGAGTAATTCTCCGAAGATTTATTTAAAATGAGTCTCTATCTACGAATCTTAAATTAGGGGACAGGAAAATATATCAAGTGACACCGGAGCTCGCTGGAGACATCTATCGGTCGACGCGGCACTCAAAGGTCAGGATTTCACTCTCGGGGTCGCACGCTCGGTCCTCTTACCGTGATAGTATGTTTCGGAGGTAAATAAGGAGTACCGGAAGGTAAACCAGAATGCTGAAACCTCGTTTAGGCGAGATAAAAGGGCCTTTAAGCTCAAGAGCCTTCTTTCTCCCGTAGGAGTCCATGTATTCTAAAAACACCCTTAACTAAACCAGATTTCAGCATATTATCAAGCGTCACTAACTAGGAGATCGTTGGCTGGAAATGTGTGAGAAGGAACTGCATGTGCTATCCTTTCGCTTTCGTGGACGAGCACGAGGACTTCCGAGAGGAGACGGTCCGCCTCGGGAACCTCCGAGGGAGGGCGAAGCAGAGGAAGGGGGTAGGGCAAGCGGGCCAAGGACAAGTGAAGGCGAGAAACGCTGATTCTCGTGGAAGTTCAACCGTGCGTTGGTCATGCTTTTTATTTGCAAGCGGGAACTGTTTCATAGAAATGAATTCCCTGTTCCTGGTGAGTCTTCCTTGAATACTGGACCTATGCGAGTTTTGAAATGTCTGTGACTCCGAGGGGAACACGGGAAACAAGACTCAACGAAACATGGGAGTTCGTCCACCCAGCGGGACGAATTGTACCCTCTTGCTGCACCTTGCTGCACCTTGCTGCATCCTTGAAGCGATATTTCCATTTTTGCTTTACCTTGTCAAAATCTCGAGAGCGCCCGCGGACTGGATAGCTTACTTGTCGAATTTCAAAAGTAATTTGGGAAAATTGCAACTTTGGCAGACCACGTCCGAAGAGACAAGTAAATGAAGATGGCCTTTTTTTGCACTTTTTTCCCCGCCCTTTTTGCCCCTTTTTTCATCTCGCGATTCCCTTGCGTCCTTTGTCCTTTGTCCTACATTTCCTGTCTGAAAAGGGAAAAGAATGACTTGTCGGAGGAAAATGCTGCCCTTCCTCCAGTGATACCCTTCCTCTCTTCCCTTCCTCCAGTGATGCCCTTCCTCCTTTTTTCCACTTCCGATACATTTTGACGCGACATCCGCCTACTTCCGGTCTCACTCTCCGGTTCTCAAGGATTCCTTTTCAGATCCTTTTCAGATCCTTCGGCACAGTTCATTTATAGGTGGAAAATAATCGGGATGAGGGAACATTGGTCCGGAATTTCCTTCTTCGTCTAAAGCCTTCTAATCGGATAGTTTTTACGCCGCTTAGCGGTTAATGAATTTTACCGGAAATTGAGAAGCCTATTACAGTCCTCCACGTCAGCCAGTCTCGGTGCAAGGCACCGACGAGCACATTCTCTTCCCCCTCCCCCCCTCCCCTCCCCAAAATTGCATTATAGTCACCGGCACCGAGATTGCAGGTCGGAAACGTGGAAGGAACTGCATGTGCTATCCTTTCACTTTCAGGGACGAGCACGAGGACTTCCGAGAGGAGACGGTCCGCCTCGGGAACCTCCGAGGGAGGGCGAAGCAGAGGAGGGGGGAGGGCAAGCGGGCCAAGGACAAGTGAAAGCGAGGAGCGCGCCGAGTCAAAATTCACTTCTCAGCTCGCAAAAATTTAATTTCGCAATTTTTTGAGATGGTGAAAAAATTCCATGACAATTTTATAATTTTAAAGCGGGCAAAGAAACGAGATTTGCTTCGTGATCGCTTCCGGACTCCCCTGTGACCCTGTGACCCACAATTTCGGCATGAGTGTCACATGACCACCCTGTCATACAGGGTGGTCACGAAGCCCCGAGGAATTTTTTCTCCTGCGCTCTTTCTCGGCGATACGAGGCGGTGATTCACGCAGCTATTTCCAATAGACGCAGATGACTTTGTTTCGGGTGCCAACTCCGAAACCATTAGCCAATTAGCATCGGCTGATGACGTCAGGCTGAGACCGGGGCCTTCTTCAAGCCCCCTCTAATTTTTTTTCCTCTCTGTCGTCGGTGACATCAAAGAAATTTTTTACCTTAATTGCTTAAATTGCTTAAATTCCACGCTTTGCAACCGCTAATCGTGCACCTTGTCACTTTCCCTACCGTTTCGTCGCTTGCGAATGACGTCATCTAATGACCTAGTCGCTGCGACACATTATTATACGTGATACAAATTACTCCCTTTAGCCGAAAATCCGTCCCCTCGCCCACGGTATGAATTTTTTTTTTGGATCTGTGCCAAACGAGAGGAAAATGCGCACACTGCGCATTCACGACTAGAGACTTGGTGACACTTGGTGCAATTTGGTTGGAAAATGGCCGTTTGTACTTATAAATAATTGAAATATTTATCGTTGGGACTTCATAACAGGGACGGAATTTGTATCGGATTAAAATGGTAAAAAATATCAAATTCGTCCGGATTTCATGACAATCCTGAATTCAACAGGCCTCGATTTCCAACCGTTTCGATGTAGATATGCCAAAAAAAATTGGCAAAAATTGCCAAAAAATTNCGGGGTCGCACGCTCGGTCCTCTTACCGTGATAGTATGTTTCGGAGGTAAATAAGGAGTACCGGAAGGTAAACCAGAATGCTGAAACCTCGTTTAGGCGAGATAAAAGGGCCTTTAAGCTCAAGAGCTCCTTTTCCCCCTTGTCCATGTATTCTTAAAGGACCCTAAACGAAACGAGGTTTCAGCATGCGGCGCTTAATTATCAAACGTCAATAACAACGAGGTCGTCGGTAGGAAACGTCGGAGAAGGAACTGTATGTGCTATCCTTTCGCCTTCAGGGACGAGCACGAGGACTTCCAAGAGGAGACGGTCCGCCTCGGGATCCTCCAAGGGAGGGCGAAGCAGAGGAAGGAGGAGGGCAAGCGGACCCAGGACAAGTGAAGGCGAGGAACGCAGATTCTCTTGTCGTAGTGCAGCAGTGCGTTGGTCATGTTTCTTATGTGTAAGCGAGACCTATTTCATAAAAATGAATTCCCTGATCCTGGTGTGAGTCTTCCTTGAATACTGGGTCGATGCGAAATGTGCGTGACTCTGAGGGGGATCCGGAAACGAGAATCAAGGAAGCAGGGGCGGAGTGCACCCTCGAAGCTTGCTGGGTAACTAGAAAAAGCCAAATTCAAATGTCTTAGAGAAGAGATGACGGCAGTGACTTAAGACTTCAGAAGGAAATAGGATAGCCTCCAAATACCAGAATGAAGTTCGCATCTTCAGGAATCGGGATTCAGGCCCAGGGAGCTTCAAATTAGCAGGAGCAAATATTCGTTCAGAGAGGAAAAAGAAAGCCAAATTTTGTTTCTGTTGATTCTCTAAGAAAGGAATACGAGGAGGTTTAAATTTGTTAATGTGAGAGGTTGAAAATAGGTAATATGCGCCTCTTGAAATCCATGGAAAAACAAGATATGAGCCTCATCTTAAGTATAACGGCGGGAATCTTATCAATGTTAAGTGGGAGAGGATGCATTTCTATTCCGTCAGGGGCATTTGGTCCACACAGACTCTATGGGGCGTGATTGTGCAATCGGTTCTGGTGTGTTGGAGATGGGTGGAGGTGGGTCGAACCCGGATCCGCAGTCCAGTTATGCGGAGTTCAGGGTGCAGAATAGCGTTTGGGGAAAGGGGTGGTTGGACAAGACGCAGGAATGGCTGAAGGGGAAAGGGAAGGATGATTCCGTTCCATCGAACCTGTGGAGGATACACGATGGATTATACGACCTGGAGGAATTTGCATCACGGCATCCCGGAGGGGAATCTTGGATCCGGATCACTCGGGGATCCGACATCACCGAAGCGTTCGAGGCGTCGCATGTCCATCCGGACGTTCCAGAGGGGCTGTTGAAGAAATACAGAGTCGGGGAGGCGACGTGGCCCAGGAGGTCGCCCTTCACGTTCCATCCACAGGGGTTCTATCGAACCCTGAAGAGACGAGTAGGGGAAAGGTTGGGGAAGGAGAATGGTCCAACGTGGAAGTCAAGGCTTTTCCAAGATTTGCTCTTGGCGGCCTTCCTCCTTGCGTTTTTGCGGGCTGCTGTTACGGGTGCGCGGCTGTGGGCCGTGGTTACTGGGACTTGGTTGGCCTTCCCCGTCATTTATGCTCATAATTTCTTCCACATGAGGGATAATGCGAGGATGTACGCGTTCGATCTCAGCGGTTTTTCGTCTCGAGAGTGGAGGATCTCTCACGTGCTCAGTCATCATATGTTTCCCAATACAATCTTGGATGCGGAGATCACCATGTCCTATCCTCTTCTCGACTATCTGCCCAGAGCCTCCAAGGGATTCCTTCTAAAGTACCTCTCCCGCTTCTACATCAATTTTCTCTTCCCCTTCTTCATGCCCCTGGACCTGGTGAGGAGGTACCTGAACGTAGCTGTTGGGATACAGCCGCTTCATCCCGAGAACATTCTACCTCTGGCAGAGCTGGCGATCCTCGCGTTCTTTCGAGGATTCGTGGAGGGACTGTCCCTGTGGATGTGGATCCACGCTTCGTGCTCTGTGGCTTTCCTCATCTCGCTTACGGCATCGCACCATCACGAGGATATCTTTCATGATGGAGACCGGCCGTCCCCCGATCGGGATTGGGGGGTGGGCCAGC